AACTGCATTGACTGGGGACACTGTAAGTTCAAACCTCATTTTTTGTTGTGTTTTCTGTGCAGCTTGTGGTGTTACTACAAGCATCGTACCGCAGGGATGGCAGGTACGTGGTGACATGCTGGTATAGTCATACTGGGATTTAAAACATGGGAGAAGGGAGGGGAGAGGGTGGTGCTGAGCCTGTTTCCAGTCAGTCGGTGAGGCAGGTCATGCCATGGAGATCTTGCACAAGCAGAACGATACTCTGTCCTGCCACAGTCCCAGTCTGTCTCCTAACTGTGTCAAGGTGGGGGATCCAATTAAGATACTTTAACCTACTGCTCCGTTTTGCCAATGGAAATGTCTTGTGAACTGGAGCAGTTTCCCTCGGCCACTTTGGGAAACAGGGAGGTCACGAAGCCAAAATGAGAAAGATGCCTGTCTTCATGTAGCCTTCCAAAATACTACTGGTTCATTGTCCAGAAGGCATAACTGTATCCCAGTACGTAGAGGTACAGTAACGTTGGCTGGTATTGGGTACATGAAAGGCTCAAACAATATCCTCCATCTTTAAGTAGCAGTGCGTATAAGAGAGGAGACGTAAAAATTCTAGGAGAAACAAGTACAGGTCTAAGTCGTCTATATTGTGCAGAGAGGTTAATACCAAAGTTGATATACTCTAACAACATTAAACTGAACTGAATAATATTAAAAGCACAGTGCTCTTGTAATTGCCTTTTCCAGAACTGCTCCGTTTGTGTTAGCCAAGATGGGTCATGCCAGAAAGTTACGAGAAGATGAGAGGAGTAAGTCCACTGATGTCGAGGCTTGGGATCTCAGTGTGCAAATTAATGTTGAGTATGATACTAGCTGCTCTCCAGACTGGACTCATGAGTCTCCCTTTTACTGTTTCTCTTATATGAAGAAACTGTGTCATAAAATCTTTTGGTCTTACTTGTATGGGCAAACCCCAGCCATATATAGAAAGGCGTTGGGGAGGACCTGCCTGTACAATTAGCTTTACCATATTCAAGAACTTGTTAAAACATGCTAATATGTTGATTGCGTTATAACATGCTGTGTTGCCTTAGGTTAAAACACGTTTTCCTATCAGCACATATGTTACTGTGTAGCAGTGTAGCAGTAAATAAAAGAAGCATTTTAAACAGTAGAATCAGTCTTCTTTTTAATAGACTGTGTTAGATTATTTAGTCAACGAAAACTGTAAATTAACTATCTTATAAAGTGGGGTAAAACAAAGGAAAAGAAACCAGGTACTTTACAGATGTGAAATGTGTTTTGACTTGCCTACATCAGACACCAAATGTCTGTCTCTTAAATGTACTTTTGGTGAATTCTGTCAAAAAAACCAACATTAGACATGATTATTTTAAAGATGGAAGTTGTGATCATAATAATGAAAACTCCTACGCAGTGCTAATGGGCTACATGCAGACTGCATTCTTCACCTCTATAAAAGATTTTCAGTAACACAGAACGTTTTGCTTTCCACTGCAGCTAATGTC